ATATATATATATATTAATATAGAGATCTATTTCGTGCTGGTCACTTCTTATATGACTTCTCTTTCTTTCTTTCTTTGCGTCATCCGTTTCGTAGTGCCCTTCCACTGAGTTTCTTTTTCTCTCCGGTACGGCGGCCGTTGGTAGAGCCGAGCTGGAAGTCGTCTCTCTCAGTAAAAGCGGAAAGGGGGAAGGAAAGAGAAAGAGAGAGGCAAGTAACTATTAAGAAGAGAAATAGTACGACTACCACTACGGCTGCTGCTGCTGTTTCTGCTGGATGTCATCGGCATCGTGGGTTATCTGTTTCGTCTCCATTCGATTTGATCTCGACATTGGGCCCGTCATTGAGCACGTTGCACCCCCTGACGCACTGAGTGATGAAGGAAAGCGCATCCTCTCGCAGGTCGCCTTCCCTGACTGCAACCCTGAGAGTGGCCATGACCTCATATTCTTCTTTCACATGAGGGATTGCACGGCGGCGGCAGAGCGGAGTTCCGCCGAGACCGTTTCCACACCATCTACCGGTGGAACGGTGACGAACATTTATGGGGCGACGTACTACCGCCAGAAGCAAGACGCGTTGGTGCCACGCGGGTACGTGCAGCAGGCGGTTGTGCTGCTCTCGCGTGTGCCCTACATGGCGGTGCATGAACTTATCCTGCGTGTGGTGGTGCCGCGGTTGTGCCAGTGCTGCTCACTTTCGCCAGATCTGGAAAAGGTGCCTGTGCTGAGCGCACTCTCGCCTGTGCCAACAACATTCTTCGAAGTGGACTCCTCCTTCAACGCCAGCCAATACTCACAGAAGGAGGTGCTGGAGCGCGCCATGGAGGAGATCGAGGGGTGGCCGTCACCTCACCCGCACGTTCAATACAACTTGACATTGCTCTATCAGCCCATCACATTTGTGACACCGCGGCGAAGCTTGCAGCCTGTTAACCGAAAACAAATTGCGGTAGCTAGGCGTTTGATGCAGCTCGATGACCGCGTCACATTCTTGGGGAGCAAACACCAAGAGGTTAGTGTGCACGACGTCATTCCCCTTTATGCGCTGCTAAATGAGCACCTTCGCCACCTGACACAACTATGGGAACTGCTCCTCTGCCATGAGTCCCTGTTCATATGGAGCAACACGCCTTCCATGGCATCCGCAGCAGCCTTTGCGGTGGCCTCACTTGTACAGCCGATTGAATTTAATGGTGTTCTGCGTTCATACCTCACTGTGCAGGATGAGGCTTTTGGACGCTTCTCACGCATGGGCAATGCGATACCTTTTCCGACAACAAATAGTATTATTGTGGCAGTTACAAACCCATTCTTCTTCCGCTCTTTTGATGGGTGGCGCAACGTCCTTACAGTTGTTGATCGGCAGGCGCGCAGCACCGGCAGCGCAGCAATGACTGGGAATGATTGCAATGAAGGTTGTTGCAATAGCGCTATCGCTGCAGCTGGCGCAGCTGCGGCTGCGGTTGCGGCTTCCGCTCTGGCGAATGGACAAATAATTGGATCACCTGGAGCAATGTTATGTCCGAATAGAAGCGGGTGCGATTTGGACAGCCCCCGCATCTTTACCTACAGGAACTTTTTTCCTGTCCTCACTGTTGCGACGCAGCCAGCACCGACTCGTCAGGATTCAGCGTCTGGTGGTTCTGGTATAGATGCCTTCTTCGACCATCGGCAGGCAGTGAACTCTTTTAGGTCCCCATTTCAATTTCTGGTGGATCACAAGGCGCAGACGGCGATTCTCCTCCATCGGTTGGAGCAGGCATCGCGTCTGAATGCAGAGGCACAGCTAGCCTCGCTGAATGCGCATCTGTGGAATGGTGGCGGAACGCTAGAGGAATCAGGTGGGGACGGGAAAGATGGTGTCAGTATTTGCGAGAAGACTGCCAGTAGTCAACCGTTTTCACAGTACAGCATCGCTGATGATATTGTGCGGAAATTTTTCGATACGCTGACGAAGGAGTTTCTCATGCCTGTTAGTGCGTGGTTTCAATCAATGACAAACACGCTTACTGTCTTTCACCTTTGTGATCCAGCCACAGTCAACGTGCTTGTTCCAGAGTCATTCCTCCGTTTTCTGAAGGATAACCGAGAGACTGTTCCTTCTTTTCTGTCCCGCCATCCGTACAAAGCGTACAGTGCCATGTACGAAAGGTTTGCGAAGGGCTCACTGTTCTGTGCGGTGGTGTGGCAGCTGTTGGACAGGAAAATACGGCAGGGCCTTGAAGATACGTCTGTTGATGAGTGGGCTGCACAGCACCCAATGGAGGCAGAGCGGATTGACATGTTTATCAACCTGTACAAGCTTGTGCAACGAGAGGTGTCGCAGACTATTGACCCTGATGTCGTCTTTGTGACAACGGCGATATCTGTCTTGGCGGGAATGACGGCGTACGTTAACGAGCCTTTGCGAGACCAGCTGATGCTCAAGATACGCGAGCTAAAGCTTTGAGGGTGGGCGGGGTGCGGGCGATGTGCATGGCAGCTTATGCAACACCTCTTTCAGAGTTCTCTGTTTGAGATCACCGCCTGCGACGGCAGTATGTCTCGCCCTCCCTTTCTCTCTCTCTCTCTTTCTTTGTGTTGGAGTCTGTTTTCCCCTTGTTCGCCCGCTCTGTTAGGGGTGCGCCGGCACTGCTTCACCCACGCACGGTACAGCAACAGGCGGGGGAGTAAAATGACGAGGAAACAAGTAAAGACAAACTCCACCGCTGTTGAGATACTACTGCTGCTCGCACTCGCGGTGTGGAGTTATGGAGACCCTCTTCATACCACGGAGCCCTGTGTGTGTGTGTGTGTTTTTCTATGTCGCTGTGGAATTACGCCTGTGGCGAATGCGCGTTTCTTCGCACTTTCTTAACACACAGTGGCAGCAATTCTTGTGTATATATATATATATATATATATATTNTTGTTTGTTTGTTTGTTTTTTTGTTGTTGTTTTTTAGGGGGGGGGGTTGCCTTACTCTTCCTTTCGCCTTTCCTGTAGCCTAGGTGGCACTGCACCCTTGTTTCAGATAGTTTCTCTGTCTAGCACCGGTAGTGGCTATGCTGCTGAGTGAGGAGAACGCGGCGTTGCTGGCGAAGTACTACAGGACGGTGCAGCTCACCGGAGCGCAGAAAGACTTGCTAATAGAGAAATACTGGGAGGCCAACAAGGAGGAGCGGAGGGAGATCGCGCGCGCCTACGCCTCTCTCTTTGCGAACGATGCGACCTTCATGCAGCGGCTGATGGCGCACTACGACACACACATTGCTGCTTCCAGTCGAGGCAGGACAAATGGCCGCAACGGCGGGAGTGGGGAGGAGGGGACGAGTGGGGCAAACCCGCGCGGGAATTCATCCGCCGCCAATGACGAGGCGCAGCAGCAACAGCAGGCACGACCGTCGCGGTCCACGAAGGCTCCGAGCGGCGGGGTCCTCACCCACTCACAACTGCTGCTCCGCACGGCCATTCAGGACCAGTACCAGAAGCTGAGTGGTGATGGCCCGTTTCCTGTTTCATTCGGCCTTGTGCAGACGGAGGAGGAGCGCCGTGAGGCTGTCGATCTGTACTCCACGCAGTTCCAGTACCCCGACCCACCGGAGCTGCAGCGGCTCGTGATGCTCCCGCAGTCACACTCTACCCGCACCCGGCGGCGCGCTAAGGGCGGCTATACGTGGTACCTCCGCTCGCACACCACGCAAGAGATGCTCTGCGCCGTCACCATTACCGCGCACCAGTACGACACACATCAGTTTGTGGAGGTGCCGCTGTTCGCCACGGGTGTCGGGTACAAGAAGTGTGGCTTTGGACGGCTGCTCAACGCCGCGCTTGTGGAATGGTGTGATGAGGCGGGCTTTGAGTTTCTGATGATCTCTGCAGACGTGCAGGCTATTCCTTTTTGGTCGCACCTAGGGTACACCATCATGTCAAAGAGTGAGCTCACACGCATCGCATTTTACTACGAGCATCACTGCTACAAGTTCAAGGGCGCGGAGGCGATGATTCAGTACTGCAAGTCGTGGCCCAGGCGTGACCTGCGCACCGCGCTTGAGCGGATGCCGAAGATTGTTGTTGTTGGCCCGCTCAGTCTCCCAAACCCGTGAGAGAGCGGGGCGAGTGCGGTGAGGGGGAGTGCGTGAGTGAGTGAGTGAGAGAGAGAGAGGGAGGGATAAAGAATGAGAGACAGAGAGGGAAAGAAAGGACCCCTTTTTATATTATTTGTTGCTGCTTCTTGTGCCACACATAATTGTGTGCCTCTGTGTGTGTGTCAATGCGTGTGATGGTCTTATGTCCGACCGCCGCAGTGGAGGCGCAGCGACGCCCCCCGCACCGCCGCGCTGCCCACGCCCCTCCTCGTCCCCGCCTCCGCCCGTCCCGCAGCGCGGGTGAGAGCAGCACATTTCCACATTCTTGCGAAGAGCGTGCGAGAGAAAGAGGGAAAGAGAGCAAAAATAAAAAGAAGCACACAAAAAGAGAAAGAAAAAGAGAAACAGAGCAAGAACAGCACACATAACAAAAAAAAAGGGAAGGGAGCAAGCACAGGGTGTAGAAGATGGAGTCTATGGACGACGCCGCCATCGTGCAGCATGTTCTCCGCAACCGGGCGAACTACTACCGGGTTCTGTTCCTTGAGCGCGGCGCCACCACGGAGCAGATCAAGGTGGCGTACAAGAAGATGGCCCTCAAGTGCCACCCCGACAAGAACAAACACCCCAATGCCAGCGAGGCGTTCAAACTAGTGGGCACCGCAAACGCTACGCTGGCGGATGAAGCTAAGCGCCGCATTTACGACAGGCAGGGCGCTGAGGGTGTGCAGCGGCACGAAAGCAGGAACGGATCCCGTGGCGCTGGGGCCGCTCATCATGCGTACCGGCAGCCAAACGACTTCTTTGAGGAATTCTTCGGTCGTGCCGCGGGCATGCACGGCCACGGCGCGCGGGTGTACGAGGCTGAGGTCAACGCGAACCTGCTGCTGGTGGTGCCGTTGTTGATCTTCTTATTCCTGGCGATTCTCCTGCAGTCTTCCCTGACAGATATAAGCGAGTATCAACGCCCCCAGCCACGCCATGGTGGTGGCAACGTGGCTTCCTTCAGCCTCACGCCCGACCCCGCGCAGGGGCTTGTAGTGGAGCGCATGGCGACGTATAACGGGTTACGTGTAAAGTACTACGTGAATCGGAAGTGGGCGGATAAGGCGGCGCGCGGCTTTTTCGATGTGCGTCGTACGGAGCGGGAGGTGCTGCAGCAGCAGCAAGAATCCCTAGCCCGTAGGTGCGAGGCGGAGTCATTATCGTACAGGGCGCGTGGACGAAAGGAGACGCCTTCAGTCTGTACCGATCACGAGGCGTTTCGTCGGGCAGCACGCTAAGCCGCGCAAATTCGTATAAACATCACATACACACTCACACACACACGCACGCACGCAGTCGTGCAAACATACACCAACGCGGATACACATATCAACTTCCCCGGTGGCTCTGTAACAAGAAGACGTGGTGAATAGCTTTCGTGTGGTCGTGTTATTTGCGGTGGAGTTGTTGCAGCAGTTGGTTTTTCTCTCGTGCGCTCGCTTTCTGCACCAAAGCCCCCGCCCGTTTCACGCTTCAAGCGGAAGGAAAGAAACCGGGTTAATGCTGGAGGGGATGGGAGAACGTTAATCGCTCACTCTTTCTTTCGCTCTCTCTGTGTGTGCGTGCACGCGTGGAGGTGTAGGCGTCTTACTGCGCTTCTCTGCGTGTCCTCAGAACTCGCGAATACGTGTTGTCGCATCTCCAAGTGCAAACAACTGCAGCTGTTTAATGCGGCCCCGTCTGAATCTGCGGCTGCCCGTCGTGGCATACGCACGTACACATACTTATTGTCGCCAAACTGTCACCCTAAATATACCTGGTGGGTTTAGTTACGCTTTTTTTCCCCCTTTGTCTGGTGTTCCTTTCTGATTATTATTATTATTATTATTATTATCATTATTATTATTATTTTGGTTTGTCTAATGCTGAGGTTTAGTTCCGTCTCTCTCTCTAGGTGTGTATCTTTTGCTTTGGGCGCGCCATGGACAGTACTCAGGTGCTGCTCGCGCTTCTGGACGTCCTGCAGCGCATGACACGGCCGGAGAGCAGCAATAGCAGCACACTACAGGGGCAGGCAGAAGCTCCGCCCAGCGTGGAAGACTTATTCGCTTCGTCTGCCTCACCGGCTCTCTCCACTCCGACGAACGAGACAGTCACTTCGGTCAACGGAAACAGAAACGGAAACGCGTCGCCAAACAGCAACGGTGCTGTGGTTTCTACTACTACCACTACTACTGCTACTACTATGGATGTGGAGCATGAACCTAGTAAAGTGCAGTTCCCGGCGTCACTACGAGAAACAGCTAGTCAATTTGTGAAGAAAAAGCCCTTCGCGGAGGCAGACGTACAAGCTGTCTGCGTGCACCTCCGGAGGCTGATCGACAGGTCTGCTTCGTCCGCGGACTCCGCCAATATTGTGTACATGGGACCGGAGCTTGACAAGCTCACCACGCTCATTAGACCCCTCGCACTCACTGATGTACGGGTGGCGGTTTACATGAGCTCCTTTATCAGCAATATAGCTGCGCTGAGAGATGTGAGAACGCAGGTCAGTGCATCCCTTTTGTGGGACCTTGCAATGGCGATTGCACAGACGTACATCGCCGAGCCCGGTGCCCTGCAGCTGGTGCTCATGGCCATGGCAAACCTGGCGCACCTGGATGAGCTAAAGCTCACGCACGAGAGCTGTGATGCGCTGTGTCGTCTTATATTCCCAAACTACACAGAGGTGAAGTTGATTGAGGCTTGGATCACGGTGTTGTGCAACGTTACTGCAAACCACCCCAAAACAGCTCAGGTGTTTGTGGAGCTTGGGCTGGTGGAGGTGCTGGAACGGCTCGTGCTGTACGTTGGTGAGGACGGCAAAGTGGCAATCCGTGGCATGCAGTGTCTTTCCAACTTGGCCGTCGGATTTACGAACGGGCATCCCGCGGCGTTGGAGACATGAAGGAGCAGGTACCACGTTTGGGTGTTGCTGTGCTGGGATTGTGAGTGCTTGTTGTGTTATTGCAACGTGACATTATAGTTGTGGATTTTTTGTTTTCGCTTGCATGACGGTACAGCTCTCATGGCGTGCGGCACTTGTTGCTGGTGCTTGTTCGAGTGGCGTCTTGGCATTTCGTCTTTGGTCGTCATTGTGTGTCGTTTATATATATATATATATATATATATATTATTGCTTGCTTTTGGATGGGAACTTAGTTGCACATGCATTTATTTGCTTCTTCCTGATTTTCCTGCGTGTGATGGCAGCTGGTGGGCCCTCCCACCGCGCAAGAGCGGTTTCCTTTTTAAGGGCCTGTTTTGTTGTGCCGTTGGGAGCACGTGCACATACACCGACGCATATATTTACCCACATATATATATATATAGAGAGAGAGAGAGAGAAAGAGTACAAGTCCTTGGAATGCCGCATCTCCCACAGAGTCCGCAGCAGACACACTCGGCCCCTCTGCTACCAGAACCGGTGCGGACGAGCGGTGGGTGCACGTACCTTAAGGAGGGGGGAGGCTGGGCAGGAGCAGTGGCAGCAGCAACGGTCAACGGAACGCACAGCTTCTCACGGGGGCAGGCTGGTGAGGAGGAGCAGTGGCGCAGACGGCACTCCCAAGACACCCGTGCATCGGCGTGCCTGCGACAGATCGATCTACAACAGACAGTGGAGTCATCTTGTTGCAAGAAAAATGTTATCTCGTGCTCGCCGAGTGCGAGAGATGCTTGTGTCCAGAAGGATGCGCACTCAGTTGCTGTGATAGAAACAAGGGATAACCTGCACGAGGTGGCGCCGCTGTCGTTATCATCATCCGCAGCGGCTGCTACTACTGGGCCAACCGCGTATGAAATGGCTCTCGCAAAGTACGAACGGAAGCTGCTGCGCATGACTCAGAAGCAACAACTTGTGGAAGGGAAGCATCGCCAGGAAGTTCTGAGCCGTCGGAGGGCTGTGAATGAGAAATATAGCGAGTTGAGCCGGCTACAGACTGCAACGGGTTCCGCGCGACGTGCAACAGTGAATCACCGTGACGGCAGTGCACCGCGACGTCGACACGGTGACGATGGCGTCGGCTCGCCGAGTACGGCGCCGAGAAAGGTCACTGCAGTAGATGCTGCGGCGCGGAACGACACTCCGAGGGCATGTACTTTGGATGGTGCATTGGAAGCGGTTGGCCACACATCTCCATCGCCCGCGGCGCATTTAAGCAATGCTGTCTCACGCAAGCGGAAAGGTGGCAAAACTGAATATGGTGTTGGTGGCGTGACAGCTAGCTGGGGTGAGGTTCCAGAAAATAAAATAGATGTAGAGCCCACAGGAGGGGTGGGCGGAAAAGGCTGCAGCTGGGGCGACCCAAATGCCGCCGCACAGCAGAGGACTGTGAAGGATATACGTTGCCCAGAAGGCTTTCTGCCCACTGCCACACCCTTGGCAGCACCGTCTCTCTTCTGTGGCAAGGCAGTGATGGCAGACGAGGTGATGGTGGCGGGGGGTGACACATTCGACGGCCTGTGCTTCACCGCGCGTCCGTGGCGCACCCCGCCGCGTCCGC